CTCTCTCTCTCTCTCTGTGCCATCCTTTTTTTTTGGGCTCGGCAATCTCAACACACTATCCTAGCCCTACTGGCACTCAATCTCGTCTATCTCAGACAGACCTTGCCGAACCCCCTTGCTGCTTGGCTACGAAACAGGTTCTAGACCGGACCACCTCCGATTCTCGACTTCCTGAGTCAAACTAGCTTTGGTGGGTCAAACTAGCTCTCTTTGGTGGGGAGGAACAAGCTGCATCGTGCATGAGTGAGTGTGTGCGAGACTTTCGGATGGCACGGTCCCGATTTCATTGTTGTTCGATTCGTCTGTCGGATACGGTCCGAGGAAGCCGTCCGATGCAGCTGCGCGCAGGAGCCTTCTTGAGCCCGTGTTTGGGGGAGAGAATCTCTTTCGAGCTTCCATGCAAGTTTTTGGTCGCCCAAAGCAGCTTTTTTTTTGCAGGAGAAAATCCAAATGCGCGCTCTTATCCATCCCAGCCGACCATCCGAATCGCGTCGGAACACCAGAGCCTTGCACAGGAGGCGGAGTTGCAATTGCAACCGGCATGCAGCGGGCTGAATTGCCTCGTCCGGCTGGGGTGGGGGAGAGGCCAGATTGCCCCGAAACTGGGTTCTGCATCACGCGTGGCTCCGACGCCGTTGCCGGACCGGTCAACCTGCGACTCGCCTTATTATTGTTGCTCCCTCTTCCGACCCCTTAGCACGCACCTGAGACACACATTGGCCGAGCCGATTTTTTTGCGATCCGCAACCACTTATGCGCGATACGCACGTACAATGCAGTAGTGCCGAAGCAGCATATCAAACTCCTCCACCTCATCCAACCCCTCGAGCCTCGACAATCTATGCAGAGCAGCGTCAGTTTCAGTGTCGGATCGAGATCCGCCAATCCTGCCCGCGCGCACCGCACCGAGATCTCGACGTACCTTTGTTTCTGACTCGCCGGCAGTGCCGTCCAGATTGCATACAGACTCGTGGCTTCCACCTGCGGCGTCTTGCATCCATCGCCGATCCATGCCGATACGAAGCGTTGGCTCTGCGCCGATATCGTCGCATATGCTTTCGCTCCAGCCATCTCCAGCCCGCGTCGCTGTAGTCAGAAGGCGTCAGTTCGTCTTACTTTCCCAGTCGCTGACCGGCAGGTTGCGCTTACCTCGAGATTGCTCAGCATCACCTCGCCGAACCTCGACGCGGAGGAGGCGTCGGAATCGCTCGCGAGCGCAATGTCGTAGCTCACCGCCTCGATGCGCGCGAATCGCTGGCCGAGGTGGGCGAGCAGCCAGTCGGCGCGCGACGGTTCGATGTACGCCAGCACACACTCGAACAGCACCAGCGTAGGTAGGCTCGCGTCCAGCGCCCCGAACACGCTGTCTGCCTCGATCCGGTCCGGCTCGGGCGTGTCGGGGTGGAGTAGACGCACGTCGGCGGCGAGCAGCGAGTACTTGGACGATCGAAGCACGCATCTCCCTGCTTCGTCGGGCTGCACCGCCTCAGACGCAGGTGCGTCGAGAAGCGACTGCAACACGCTGCTTTTTCGGATGCATGCTAGCTTCTGCTGCACGTTTTCGGCAAAGTCCACCTCGACGTACTGCTCCAGCTGCCCCGCTAGTCGCGCCTCGGACTATCCAACGCCAGAGGCCGAGTCAGCGACATACACTCGCGAATTGGTGACGGCGCTTGTCGGATGTGCTTACCATGATGCGCCAGTACCTGCTATCGCTGCCGGCGCCTATCGAGATGATCTGCTTCCTGCCCGCGCCGTTCGTGAGGAACGCCTCGACGTGCTGGTCAATGGTGCTGCATCGCAGGTACGTGCCGATGTTGATGAGCGGCGATCTGCGCGCAGCCGCATCGGGCCCGCGCATGCCGCTCGGTGTGCTCCCCGTTGCAAACTCTTGCGTGTACGGCTCGGGGGAAAGATAGCCCAGACGCAGCGCCGAAAGTCGCGAGAGCAGCGCATCCGAGTCGGTGGCACGCACCGCATCGTCCGTCTGCACCCTTCTGCGCCCTCCATCCGCCTCGGCATGCTCGACGGTCTCGGGCCTGGCCATGCGCGAGCGCGGCACCCCTAGCGAGAGGCCCAGTGATCGCGGTGCGCCCAGAGCTCCATGGGGTCGTGACGATGGCTGAGTGGGCGGTGTGGCTCGTAGCGATGGCGTGGGACCGGGTGCGCCGAATCGCGAGGTGCGTGGAGGTGGTCGACCTGCACCTGATCGCAGCGCATCGTCGTCTTCGGTAGCGAACGGATCGCGCAGTGGTGTGTTGGACGCCATGGCGACAGAGTGCGGCACGCAAAGGTGGAAGAAGCATCGAGAGCCCAAAAAGTCCAAGACCAACACTTTGCACTTTCACCTCGCGGCCACGTGAATCACCTAAAAGTGGAGGCCCGTTCGCCCGATCCGTGGCAATCGGGATAGTGACGTCGCCTCCACTTTGGCACCGTGAAATGCCGGTTGCGAACACGTCGCCCTCCAACTCCTCTTCGGCATCCACCTCTTTCGCTCCGCTCCTTGTTTCCACCCTACATCCACCTACACTGCATCTAGATGAGTCGACCATCCCCTCAACGGCGTTCGGCGCTGCCGCTGGGCTTGCAGCGCCACCACATCGTCTTCGTCGCGTACCTCAGCTCCATCGTGCTGCTCGGCACTGCGTACAGCATCGCGTACGGCACCCACATCAACAACCTCCGCCTCTCGTCGGGAGCCGACTCCCAATTCCCCTCGACGCTTCCTGGTGCTGCTGTGGCTCCGAGCATCCAGACTGGTGCGGATGGCAGTACGCAGCTTGGGCCGCTGCCGCCCACGATCGCACTGCCGCCGCACCACGCGCTCAACTACTGGGCGAACCGCAAGAACATCGTCAACCGCATCTTTGTCAAGAAGGCGTGGCTCTGGACCACGGCTGCGTGGCTTGCGCAGCTGTTCTTCCTGCGTCTCGCCGCCGCCACCCCTCGGCTCAAGAAGGAGGACGCTAGATCGGGGCAGGCGACAATTACGAGTCCCGTGTCGATCTCAGTGCTTCGCTACATGGTCGCGACGGGTGCATGGCTGCTGTTTGCCAACTGGTTCTTTGGCCCACCTCTGGCAGAGCGGATTCTGACTGCAACGGGCGCGGTGTGTGTACCGAGCTCCAACGCTGGGCTGGGCAAGGTGGAGGAGATGTACTGCCGAACACGCACGCCGCTATCGTCCACCTCCCACCCAGCGCTCTTTTCGGGCTCCGGAGCCGCAAAGTCGATCAGAGCAGCGTGGAGGGGCGGACACGACATCTCGGGCCATACATTCATCATGGTCCTCTCGTCGCTGTTGCTGCTCGAAGATATCGCCCCCTACCTCGCCGCACTGCTCGCGGATTCTGCTCTGGGCAAGGCGGTGTTTGGAGGTGAAAAGGTGGAGCAAAGGGCCAAGGCAGTGATGGGGGAGCAAAAGGCAAAGTTGGCAGTGGCGGCAAGTGTGGCTCTAGTCGGGTTGTGGAGTTGGATGCTGCTGAATACCGCCATCTACTTCCACACGCCGCAGGAGAAGGTGTCGGGCCTCATCGTCGCTCTAGCCGCCTGGATGGTCATTCCCAAATCCAACTAAACCCCCTAACCCTCACGCAGTCTCAATATGGAACACTTGGAATCATTACGTTCGGGTATGTGGTTATGACGAGCGGAGGGAGATCCAAAGAGCAGCTAGACGGATCGTGCTAGCAGCGACGCCGGTCCAAGCTTCCACTGCGTCCTTGTCGATGTGGGGGGCGGCGGCTTCGTAGGCGAGGAAGATGACTTCGGACCAGTTGGCGAGTTTGAGCCAGCTGTTGATGCGCACATTTCGACGGGCAGTCTTGAGGTCGCTTTCGGCCCGAACGAGTGCGCGCTCCGTTGACCTGCGCAAGGAGTCGACACTTGAATGTGGTCCCCCCCTACGACGCGGTTGATCGTCCGAAGTCGAGGAGGTGGACGAGACATCGTCAATGTCACTTGCATCCTGGAGGTCACCGAGCATTTGAAGTTCTTTCTCCTGTGGGGCGGGGCGATGGGATCGAGTGGGGTTGCGTTTTCGTAGCGACAGCGCTTGGTTGCGGTCGATCGTGGTGCCTGCCAGATCGCTTGCCCAGCCCAGTTTATCGTTGGCCCGCGTGATGCGTCTGTGTGCCGACCGCACGTCCGCACGCAGCGAGGCGCGCTCCATCCGCAGCGCTAGTAGGCTTAGCATGACGCTGCAGAGAGAAAGGACGATACCGATATGCTCCACACCCCGACGTCGTCGACGGGAGAGGAACGGTAGACCGAGACTCTGGATACCTACGGCGCGCCAAAACATCCCCCCACCACACAAGACGGCGGCGGTCTCGCATGCTTCGCCGATGGTGCCCACGGTATCAGCGGCTGCTTCGACGTGAGAGAGCGTCCAGACCCTCGACCAAACGCGCCGTACCCGCTGCACCAACGTCCATCCGCCATCTCCAATTGCAGGGGGTGGGGGGCCGTGCTGCTCATCAAACACGTCGAACGACGGCTGTGTTGTTGGCCAGGTTGGTGGATTCGTGTGGTCCGACGGTTTATCGCGCGGTTCTTCGCCCGTCAACTTCTCGTCGAGCTCCGCCTGGCTCTGCTTGCGCGCATGCTTGCGGTGCTGCCAATGCTCCATGGTCGCCTCGGTGGCGGCGGTGATCCAGCGCGCAATGAGTACGATGCGGCGAAAGTTATCGATGCCCTCTGCGGTCGTATAGATCCTCTGCATCAACGCCACCCTTACTGGCTTGGGGAATGACAGCGCCAGCACCGCACCCGCGGGTCGAAGCATTGCGGCGCGGTACGACCGCGGGACGGGATGGTCGAGCGATGCATGCAGCAGCAGCACGAGTGAGTGGCTCAGCTGCAACACCTGCTCGCGACCCTCCCAAGTCTTGAGCAGCCTCAGCAGCAGGTTCCGCCGTCGACGCTGCAGCTTCATCGCTGATGGAGGCAGAGTTGGCCACGAGGCAGACAGACTCGTGGGGAGGAACGAGCGCGCAGGAGAGTCGGAGGCAAAGCGCGAGTGCGGATGCGTAGCGAGACTCGTCGAGTGCGAGTGACTGATGGTCAACACATCCCCTTCCTGTGCCTCGCCCAGCATCGTCGCATCATACTCTGCACTCCCATCTGCCTCGTCGTCGGTGCGCTCGTGCGAATCGCGCAGACCAAAGTCGTACGACGGAACGAACTCTTCCTCCACCTTGGGCTCCTTGGGTTCTTCGTCGTCCGATCCGTCGCTCGTGAGCGAAGTTGGCACGAACGTCGTGACGGAGCTGAGCGAGGCCATGTGTGGCGCATCGCTCGTATCGCCCGTGCTGAGCGAGTCGATCGACGGACTGTGTGCGATGCGCCGCCCAGGTGTCGACGACAAGCTCTCGATCGTAATGCGTGGCAGCGCCGTAACCGGATCGGCATCGAGGTGCGAGACGCGGCTGGACGAGGCGGTGATGTAGCCCGCCGTGTCGGCCTCGCTGCGCAGTGAGAATGATGACGCCGAGGCTGGCGGCGGCCGCAGATGGTCTTCACCACCGCCGGGGGAGGGTGTGTGGTTCGGCATGGCGCTTCTTCCACGCCTGTGTGCGGTCCGGGCGGCTGGGCAAGTGAGCAAGTGTAGGTGGTGCGGGGGTAAGGTGCGGAGGTTGTGTTGGCTCTGCGTGTTTGTTCCGGCTTTTTGTAGGCCCGGAGTGCGCCGCGTCCCCAACGTCGCTTTTTTGGGCCGCCGCGGCTGGCTGTGGACCCTGATAGCCGCGCGTATCGCCAAAAAAAAGTCTAAACGAGGGCACACGATCTAACAGCTCGTCACATTTTCTGCTCATCTTCAACGGCTCACCATGCCCAAACAGCAATCAAAGTTACACACACACACACACGCACACACGGCCGTGAGTGTTAGGCTTGGTTGCGAGTGGGTGGGTGAATATAGTACACGGGCTTGAACATGGAGGCAGATTGGAAAGGAGGGAAGCATCACCTCGAGCCGCCGGGGCCGGCGCGCTTGGCGATTTCGTTCTTGACGAGCTGTTCGATGCGGCCCTTCTCCTTGTCCTCTGCCGACATGTAGCTCGCAGCCTTGGCGCGGCGTGCCTCCGCCTCGGCCTCGGTGCCCACCTTGTCGAGCAGCGTAAAGTGCTTGCGTGCCGACAGCGGCCTGCACGCCGACGCCACGATCTTGTCGCCCACCGACAGCGAGTTCTGCTCGTCGTGCACCAGGTACTTTTTGTGGCGGATGAACGGCTGCGCACGAATCATGATCACCATCACCAGTGTCAGCGACGCATGCTTGCGCATTTCTAAGGCTGCCTCCAACTTACCTTGAGCAGCTTGGGGTGTATCAAGCGGCGCTCCACTGTGACTGTGACCGTCTTGGCCATCACGCCCGCCTTGGTGATGATGCCTTCGATCGTCTGGATCGCCATGGCGCCTGTGTCCTCGTGCGTGGCAGTGTTTGTTGCAGGGAAAGCAAGATGGAGAGGCACAAGCTGTGCTCGTGTAGGTCTAGGTCGAAGCGACTGCGGAGGAATTTGACAGACCCGGTTCGTGTGCTGAGTCGGACGTGCGTCACCGGTAGTATGTGACCGTGTGCTGACGAGCTGTTGGATCCAGAGCAGCAGCAGCGGCGTGCGTGCGGCGTGTGTGCGAGCGGAGAGAAGGTGAGGATGGTGATGGAGGTAGAAGATGTCTGCGAAGCTGCCGAGTCGATTTCCACAATTTGGCGGGAAGACGGCGAGAAGACGGCACTTTTCGGTGCTTAGTCATGCTTTGTCGTGCCACCATGCGGAAAAGGTGGACCCTGAAAGCCGCGCTCCGGCCTTCTCCTCCACCCATCCAAGCCATCCAAGTGTGTCAGACGCCTCTTCGCCTCGGCCCACCATCCTTGCTGCGCACTACCCACCACCGCACTCGTAATGGCCATGCCTGACCCCGTCTGAGCATCCGCAGTACAGTGCTATGCTCTTCGCATCCTCCTAGCACCGCCAAGATGATCGACGAGCTCGTCCACCACTGCATCAACGAGATCGGCCTGGATGGCGAGGCCGGCACCGAAATCAACCGCCTCACCTCCTTCATCTGCCAGTTCCATGCCGACCACTCATCGCGCTCTCAGCTCCCAGATCAGCTTGTAGATGCCTCCTACCTCGCCTTTGTCTTTCGACAGCTCATCGCGCATCCGGACGTCAACGTTGGTCTCTTTGTAGCCGGCGTGCCGCAACGTGAGGGCGCAAGAACCGGCATCACGAAGCGCAAAGCGTCTGCGCCAAACACACCCACTACAAAGCGAGAATCGCAGCATCAGCCTGTAGCTCCCGAGTATGACTGGGTCGAGACTCTCGACCCGTCGCCCGCCGAACATCATGGCCTCCCACAGCTGCAGAGCGCCCACGGAGACCGTCTACGCCTCGTCTTGCAACCGGCCGCCATCAAGCGTCAGCTCGTCGGCGCAGACGACATCTTCCTCCCGCCGTCAGCATACAATGTGCTCCAGATCATCTGTCGCTCTCGCCAAACGCCCGTCCTCAGCACCGACATCGGATCCGCAATCCATACCGACCAGAAAACCGTCTACTACATCTGCAAACGCCTCACCGATCCCGGTCTTATCGTCAAGATCAAGGCGCGCGAAACTGGCACCACTGCAAGCTATTTCATTGCAGCTCGATTCCAGGACAGCTGCGACCTCTTGATCCAGCAGCGCAACGCAGAGATCACAACCGACTCGCATCAGTCCGACATCGCATCAGGGCCTATGCTGCCTATGCTCACAGATCTCGCCTCCTCTTCGCGCCTCCCCACACCGCAGGTCGACATTCCCAGCAATCAGCCTGACGTCGATGCCGAGTCGGATCAAGAAGAAGCACAACCCGCGTCCGGTCCCATCATCACAGTCAAAGACGAAGAATCGCAAGCCATCCAGCTTGCCGACATCCAAGGCCAGGGCAATGCACACGTCCCCCTCCAGACGCTCGCTCCCACCTTTCAGCACGTCGACCCCGGTAAGGCTCGGCTGTGGATGAGCAGCAGACCCGAGCTCGTGCGCTTCCGCATCTATCTCCTCTGCAACTCCACCAACTCCAAGATCACCAAGCGCCACGGCCTCGTCCACCGCATCAACATCGCCTACAACCTCTCGCTCAAAAGGATATTTACCAACGTCCTCGAGCACGCTATCGTAGATGGCTTCCTCGAGGTCGTCCAGCTCCTCATCGCCAGCACAGGCCGCACCTCCCGCGGCCTCCGCATGACCCACAAGGGCCTCGAAGAGATGCAAAGCATGCTACAAGGCGACTTTGACGATCCGGCTTCGCTCGAGGAGCAGCAACGCGCCCGCAAGCTCAACGCCGCCTTGCAGCAGGATCTCGACAGGTTCGAGTCGCGTCTGCCTCGCGAGCTCACCCTGGAGCGCTGGATGTACGAGGAGGTGGCGCGCGCCGGCCCTTCCGGTCGCACCGCGGCCCAGCTCATGGCAAAGCTCAACGCCGCCGGCCACTTTTCCCGCGTCATCGACCAGATCATACTGCGCGCCGAAGATGCCGATGGCGAGCCTTCCATGAACGACCTCCGCATCCGCACCTTTCATGAGCACAGCCTTCGCATACGCAGCTCGAAACTCTTCAGCAACCACGCATGGGTCCTCCAATCTGCCAACGATGGCTATCTCGAGCAGCAAGACCGCGACCGCCTCGCGCTCGCCGGCGGACCGTCGTGCTTCCATCAACAGTCGACTGCCTGGGACGAACCGGCTCAGATCAACCAGCTCGTCGCCTCGTTCAGCCAGGAAATCGCCACGCCCGACAAACGTCTGGAGCCGCCCAGAAGAGGTCGTCCGCCGAAGAGACGAGCCGAACCCGATCTGAACACTCCTCCCAAAAAGAGAGGCCGACCGCGTAAGAATCCGGTCCCAGTCGATACTGCCGAGCCGAGCCCACTTGCCGCGGACGCCAACAACGACGCCATTGCCTCGTCGTGCGCTACACCCTTGCCAACAGAGGGCATCGAGCAAACGCCCGACCTGTCGGACACGCCGATGGAGAGGGCTACTTCTACCCTGGAAGTTGTTGAGCACAGCGTCGAGCCTGCGGACGAGTTCCGACCTGAGCCTGCTGTGCCAGACTCGCCAGCAGCTGGAGCGGCCAAGCGTCGGGAGCGGCGCCTTGTGCAGGAGCAGAGCGCCCGCCGACCCACCTCACTCCTCGCTACGGCTCCTGTCGTACGCCCGTCGACGATGCACATCGACGAAGCAGCTGAGGCAAGGCCTGCTGATACTGCAGAAGCGACTCAGCATGAAGCAGAGCGAGACAGTCAGATGGTTGCGCACGAGGATCATCCGAATCCTACGACGTCGATGTCTGAAGGCAATCTTGGCAATGTCGCGGATCTGCTCTCGAATCCTACCCGACCCAAGATCGAGGCCGAGTGGGGGTCCGTTGCCACTCCTGCTTCAAAGAGCGTATTCGAGGCCGGATCGACACCGACGACTTCGGACCGCAAGAAACGGACAAACTTGACCCAGCTGCGCAGCGCACACACTCTCGTCCAGTGCATCCGCGAGGCGGGTGGCGCGATGGATGCGCTCTTGATTCCGGAACAGCTGTCGAGCTTTGTGGAGCGGCACGGCTTTACCTCGGAGGCGCAGCTGGTCAATCTGCGAGACAAGAAGGTCAGAGACAAGGCGATTGCAGCTGCGGTCAACAACGATCTGCTCCGTCGTACCTACGTCCGCATCGATCGGCCAAGCGCCCCGCACCCCCGACGTCAGATCATCTACCTCCCCGATTTGCCGCAGCAGACGTTGCATGCCTACTGCGACGCGGTCAAGACGGAGCGCCAGGGCTGGTTCGACACGAAGGCGAGCATAAGGACTCTGACGAATGTGATCGACAGCGTCGAGGTTGGTTCGATGGATGCACTCCATGTAGACAAGCCTTGGCACCAGTCGGAGCCAATGCGGCTCGCGGATCTGCCAGCCGACATGGCACAGCTCGCTCCGCTCCGTCAGCCCTTCCGAGACGTCACGAGCGTGCACCGACAGCACCTCGGCTTCCTCAGCGGCGAAATGCTTCGGCTCAAGGCGTTCCATCACGCGTGTGCGCACTTCCTTCGACTGCGAGCGTCGACCCCCGAGATCCCCGGTGCCGTCTCTGGGGACGGCGCTACACTGCCTCTCAGCTTCTTTTGGACCGACGCACCGTTGGATCTGTACCTCGGGCTGGTCGCAGTGCGGCAGATGTCCGAGCCGATCGAGCAGATGGCGCTCGATCCGAACGTGCGTCGTCTGCCGATGCATGCGCTGCCACTGGGCCTCGCGACTGCCCTTGGGCTCGCCAATGGCGTTCCTGTCGAGGTCAAGGTTGCACTCTACAGCCTCGCCTCCCAACTCTCCAAACTTGGCGTGCTCGATATCCATCCAGCTTCCCACGATGCTCAAGAGCAGCTCGACACCCCCAGCGGCGATACCGTCTCGTTTACGGTTTCTGTCGAGCCTCGGGCTCGGGTCGCGCGGTACAACTGGCTTGCGGAGGAAGCAGAGAAGCCGTTGGTCGAAGTGCTCGACGTAGGTCTGGACGCCGACAAGATCAATCGGTTCTGGGCCAGGATGCAGGCTTCTTGCCTCAGTCCAAACAGGAGCAAGGCACTGTTGGCTAACGACGATGCACAGGAAGGCTCCGAGGGGCTCACTGCAGGCACAGCTGTGCACGACTTGAGGCCCGGAGACATCGTCGATCCATTCAAGACTTTGCCGGAAGAGCTCATGTTTGCGCTTAAGGCGAACAAGTCGTGGCGGCCTTTCCACCAGCTTCGACCGTCGCAGATCAAGTTCTTCCGACGCATCGACGTGCACGACTGTGCGTCGGCATCGCAGGAGCACATTGACAGGCTGGCGTACGCCACGCTCGTGCCCCAGAGCGTGGTGCGCGCCGTGCTGGAGCATCGAGCTCGATCGGCCCAGGAGCCCGAGGATCCAGACGTTGCCCCGCATCAGAGCAGGCCGCGCTTCACCTGGCCGCTGCGGCTGTCTACCATCTCGCTCCCGACCAACGTGTATAAGCCGATTGCGGCCGCAGCCTCGGTCAAGCGCAAGAAGACGCAGGCGGAGCGCGAGAAGCAGGGCCGCATGACGACGCTCGCCAAGGCGCGTCAGCTGCGTCAGCGTCGCGATGAGCAGTTCCAGGCGCTGCTGGACCAGGCATTCGCCGAGGCACCGTCGGCACACGCGCTGCGGCCCAAGATCGAGACTGCGCTCGGCGTCATCCGCAAGAAGTTCGTGGCGGGCGATGTGCGCTTTGATGCGGATGCGGCGCAAAAGGCGATCGTGCGTGCCATCCGGTCCGCCACGGGTGTCCGGCTGATGCCCGCAGCACGCGCTGCGCCAGCCGCTCGGCAGCGACGTCGGGCACGGCAGACGTCTTCGGATCACGAGGCGGACGCTGGCGAGGCGGACAACAAAGCGACTGGCGGCGGTGTGGCGAGACGCGACCGGCGCGGGCGCCGCAACGTGGACCAGGTCAACTTCTGGACGCCTACGCGCAAGGAGCTTCTGCGCGATGCGGCGGTGATCCTGCGCGTGCGCGACGAGGTGCGTGGGCGCTCGGACTGGACGGCGCTGCTGCAGGTGATCGAGCCCGAAGAGCGCACCAAGACGCGCAGCGTCATCATGGCGCAGTGGCGCAGCCAGTACCAGCGCATGCGCACGCTCTACGGCGAAGAGGCGTACCTCGCTGCGCTCGAGTCGCGCTGGGTGCCCGTGTACCTCGCTGCGCGCCAGGACGGCAGGCTGCAGGACGCCGATTTCCCCTCGGCAACGAACTTCGATCTGGTCGCACAGATCGAGCTGCTGCGCAGCAGCATCGACAAGAACGAGGTGCAGCGCTCGCTGACCAAGCCGACGGCGCGCCATGCGCTCCCGGCGGTGCTGACCGAGGCGAGCGACTTCACCGCGAGCTGGAAGGAGGATCTGGTCGAGGAGCCGGTGGAGAGGAGGTTCGAGGCGTTCTTCAGCACCGAGGTGGGCGTCACCAGTCGGCGCTTGGAGAAGCTTCTGGGCACTGCGCTCGGTAGCGAGCAGGCCGATAGCCCCACGCAGCGCGATGCGTCGATCGAGGAGCTTATGGCCGAATGTGCGGTGCGCATCGTCGTCGCCACTTCGTCCGCAGAGACGGACGTGGACGCTGCATCTGGGTCCACCGAGCACGTGGTGGATGAAGCGATCAAAGCCGACTTCTGCAGCTCGGTGGGCGACGCACGGATCGAGGCGGCCATATCGCGCATGCTGGACGCCAAGCTGCTGCGCGCGGTCAGCAGCGACCCTGCGCTCCGGCGGCGGCCGGGAACGAACTTTGTGCTGGGCGACGAGATGCAGAAGCTGCTAGCGGACGGTAGTGCGCGGTTCATTCTGGGCGCGGGGGATCTCGAGGCTTCGGTGACGCACCGTCGTTGGGCGTGGGAGGAGCTGTGCGCAGCTGAGGAGGGGATGTATGTGCAGCCGGTCGAGACGGACGGGGAGGCAGCAGCGATGATGGTGCTCATGGAGATGGGGGCCGTCGAGGCGCATGTGGAGACGGGCGCGTTTGAGGCGCTCCGGCAGAATGCGGCGTTCAACGCACGCGTGCTGAACGATGAGGACCTCGAGAGCCTCATCCACGTGCGTGCGGGAGCGGGCGCGTTGAGGGTACTAGAACGCGCCGTGTTGACGCTTCCACCCATTCCGAGCGACAGCGTGCTGGACTGGCTCGATAGCGCAGACTTGCGCACGGAGTGGAACGCGCAGTGTGAGGAGGCACCGGATGTTGGCGCGTGTGCGAGGACGCTGATGGATGCTGGACCGGCGGGGTTGGTACTGCCTCATCTGGCGTATTCGGCGGTATCGCGACTCGTGGCGGGTTCGCGACCACTGGCGTTCTTCTCACCACTCTCGGCACAGCCAGTACTGGTAGCTAGCGTCTATGTCCACGCATACACACTGCACGCGCCGTCGCGCACACTGCCACACGCATGGACGACGCTGCATCCCACTCCGCACCCCACATCGACCCGACTCTGGCGCTCGCTCCTCGAGCACTGTCTTGCCCTCGTGCGGCAGAGACCGGGTATGTCGTTCAGCGCCCTCGCGCGGCGGTTCGAGCCGCGGACAGGCGCACCTGCTGTAAGCGCCGCCGACGTCTGGCTCGCCATCACCGCGCTGTGCGACGCCCAGGCCGTAGTTGCTCAGCACGATCTCTCACTGCAAGTCCACCCCACACGTCCACTCGCCGCATTCGCAGCCTAACTTAGCCCAATGGCATGAATTCGAATCTGGTTGTTACTGCGCTTGCTCGGCGAGACTGAGTTGGATGGCCAGATCGATGTCCTGCTGCAGCTGTGCATCTGCATCTCGACTCTGGGACTGAGGTGTTTGTAACGATGCTGCGAGGAGTGATTGGGTCGGTGGGAGTGTTGCTACTGCTTGTGACCTGGTCGCCCAGGCAGACGGTCTTGGCTGCAGCGTTGGCCTCGCACCTGGACTAGCAGCGCCACTAGCGCGTCTTTCTCCGAACCTGGGTGAAGCTGATAGCGAGCCGGGATTTGACGGCGGCATAGCAGGCCATTCGGGCGGACTGAGCGCGCCCATGCTGCTGCCCAGGCTTGAGGCGATCGAAGCTTCGGCGGGGGTGGGTGAGGATAAGCGCGCGCTGCGGGGGACATTGACCATGCGCACTTTGGAGTTGCTCCCCCATCGATCAGTGTTGGGCGTGGTAGCACTGGAGCCGGCCTGTGACAGAATCGTCCATGCGCGCGAGGGCGGCGAAACCGCACTCAGGTACGGCGAGGCATGTGGCGACGGCGAAGGCGAAGGCCGCACATACATCTCGTCGAGCTCGGGATCATCCGTACCAAAATCCTCGTCGTCCAACATACCCCACCTTGCCGCGGCTTGGGCTTCAGCCTTGGATTCGGCCAGTGCGATCTGCTCGAGCGCATCGGCGAGCTCGGGATCATCCACCACCTCCTCTGGAACCTCGATCTTCTTTCGGCTGCTCGAAGCATACGACCCCGGCACATACCCACTGCCACCCATGAACTTGGCTTTACTCGACGCCGTTGCCGCCTCCTGATCGCGCGACAGCATCAACGCATACTCGAGCGCCTCTTGCTCGCTCAAGCCATCCAGCTCGAACCCCTGCCGGCTGCGGATCTTGCTGTACTCCGCCTGCCGCTCCTCGTGCTCCGCTTCCAGCTCGGCCTTCGACTCGCGCACGTCGCGTTTCAGCTCCACCTGCGTCGCATACTTGCTCTCTCCCACCCTGGGTCGTCCACCCTTCTTAGCCGCCGCGTTTGCTGCTGCCGCAGCGCGCTTGCTCAGCACCGGCTCCGCACGGAACGCCAACACCTGGTGCCCGATACTCGCCACCAGGCAGTCGTTGTCCGCAATGATCTGCGTGACGCGAAACCGCGCCGCTTCCGAAGCCGTCATTTCGCCCGCGGCCAGCATGCGGGCCGGATGCCGCGTGGCAGTACGGTCGTTGATCGTGCGGATGAGATCACCCGCGAGCGAGTCGAACACCTTGATCGTACCGTCGGACGCGCCCACGAAGATGTGCAGCGGCGTGAGCTCGAGTGCGCTAATGGTGGTGTGGTGCGCCTCCCATCCAATCGACGGCAGCAGCTGTCGCTGGCCACGGAAGCGCGCCGGACTCTGGCCCTGCCACTCCTGCTGCGTCGTCTCGTCCAAGATCGTTCCCGTGCTCTGCCAGTCAAACAGGAACAGCGAGCCGGTCTTGGTGCCTACGCAGACGTACTTGCGTTCGGCGTACTGTCCCGACCCGGCGTACGTGTCGAACGGGCTCGGCCCCAGCACGAGCGTCGGAGCCACGCTGTTCAGCGACGGCACCGCCATTTCGGGCCGTGCGGCCGACAGCACCGGCGAGGCATAGACGCTCGTGGCGGGACTCTGGGCGGTGGAGGAGCGAACGTCGCGCTTGGGCAAGCGCGGCTCAAAGTCCGGGCGGATCGCTGTGATTTCATCCATGACCGCCGCTCCGAGCACGGTCGTCTCGACATCCCGAGACGCATCGCGCGGAATGCGATGGCGGAGCAGCACGCGTGCGCCCGAATGATGCACCAGGACCTGAGCCTCGTGCGCCTCCGACACATCCTCCATGCCCTTGGCGGTGGACGGAGGCGACGCGTCGATGAAGATCGAGCTCACAGCCACCTCGCTGCTTGGTCCGACGGGCACATCGATGACGGTGCGGCGCACGACGTCCGACAGGCGAGAAAACTCTTGGTTGGCCTCGAGCGTGTGTGGCTCGGGATTGCCGTTGCGGAGGTGCTCCGGATCAGATGCCTCGGGAGGAATGCGCAGCAAGCCAGCGACGTCGATGTGAGTCCACACGAACAGCCTGCCCGCGGTGTTTCCGGCAGCGACGATGCCTGCTTTTGCGTCGTAGGCGAGCGCACAGATGGGGGCAGCGGCCGAAGTTGTCGTGGCGACACCGTCGATCGTGGCAGGTTTGGTAGCCGATGAGGCTATCCAGAGCGGCCATGACCGATTCGACGTCCACATGCGCACGGTACCGTCGAATCCGGCCGTGACGAACGTGGATGCGACGTCGCCAAGCGAGGCGATTGCCTGTCGGAGGCGTTCGGGGCTACGGCCGGGACCATGCGCACCGTCGCTATCGCTGGCAAAAGGGATTGCGATGGCGCTGACCGGCCCAGCGTGGCAGGCGCGAGGTGTGAAGCGGATGCTCTTGATGGCGCCGCGTGGATTGGTCCCCTGCCTGGCCATGGTTGTCATGCCGACCTCGCCCGAGCGGAAGCCCCAGTAGATGTGGGATGCGTCGGAGCTCGTGTTGAGCGTGGTGACATTGGGGCTGAACTCGACGTTGGGATTACCGTTTCCGGCGCCGTTGGCGGTGCCTTCGGCGTCGAGGTAGCCTTTTGTCACTTTGCCGGTCCATGGATTGGAGCGCGAAGCGACGCCGTAGGTGTCGGTGGCCGAGATGAGGAGGCGGTGCTGTTTGGAGAGCGAGATCTTCTTGATGATGTCGACGCGTGGGGTGGAGAGCACGGTGGGAGTGCGCGACTTGCGCCACCTGCGCAGGAGATCGACGCGCTGCTGGAACTCGTGTCGCCAGGAGGCGTCTGTGAGGCGTCGGAGCGCTGGCGTGGCAGATGCCTCCAAGGAGGTGGAGCGATTAGCCTGGGCAGCTTCAAGGCTAAAGTAGGTGGCGAAGGCGGCTCTCCACGTGGAGTCATCGCGAGCAACGAGTGCCCATGCGCGGCATACTGCGGCGGACCGACAGAGCGAGATGGGATCGAGGAAGGCAAAGATGCGCATGAGCAGCTCGGGCGCGAGCTCGGAGACGTCGGTGGTGTTAGATGCAGCGCCAGGCGCGTCTGTGCCTACATCAGCCTCGATAAGCGCGTCTTGGGCGGCTTCGAGGTCGACGACGCGTACTATGGTCGATGCATCAGCGTCATCGATGGTGTCCGTCTGCCTCTGCTTGCCCTTGTCGCGGGCGCTCCTGGGCGACTCTGTGACTCCAGCAGTACCGCTTCGGTCGCTGGAGCGTGCAAAATCGTGTGCCAAAACATGCTGGGCTGAGGTGAGTGTCGAGTGCGAGGCTGCTTGGTCGATATGGGTGTCGTGCTGGGTATGAGGTTGTAGTGTCGGGTCAAGAGACATAAAACGGGAGGCGGGGGTCGAGAATGGATAGCTCGACAGCAAGTGCGTTGTTGTCGGGGGTAAAGTCTTGTGCGGTGGTTGCGGTGGATGCGGCGAGGCGCGTTGTGCTGAGCTGTTGAGGATGTGATGGTGTTGGGCGGACAAGGGCTAGAGATGTGGTCCGAGCCCGGCTAAACGACGCGTCGAGCAGCGCATGTGAATTCAGGCGGCTGCAGCTCAGCCTCACCTTGCAGCTCGCCACCCCGTGCGCAGTCGGGCCGTCGGCTCAGATCGTCGATCTTATACGCCCATCGGGCCGATCGGCCTCCTTCTGTCTGTCGTGCGTGTCTCGTCGGGCCTCGAGACTGCCGGATCATCCATTGGGCCTCTCGTAGATATGGCATCCACGACCAACAGCAACGGATGTCACTCGGAACGTATTGCTCGGGACCGGCGTCTGTTGGTGTGAAGTCGTCTTTGCGGCTAAAGAAAATGATCGCCAAAAAGGGGAGCGAAAAAGACCCCCAAGCTCGGACATCGCCCTTATCGGCCCACCGATCGCCCCGATGGAGATGCGACAGAGCTCGGCCGAAGTCTAGACGTGTCGGGTCCGAGCATTCCTCCCTGGCCTGTCTTCCAGAGCGAGGCCCAGATCGGGGGTCCCACCAGCCTGGCCAACGCACTCTCCAGGCTAGTCGACGCCGATCTGTCGATGGCGAGACAGAAGAACCGCACACACGGGCTGTGCACGCAGCCTAGCGCAGGCGAGCAGCCGCGGCGCTCGTCGTCGTCGCCGGCCGCTGTCTCTCAAACACCATCGTCTCCTTGTCTCGACTTCATCTCTACCGACGACAAATAAAATCTTTCAAAATGGCTTCCCAGGACCTCCAGTGGCTTCTTGTGCGCAACAACTCGAGCTTCATCGTGAAGCAGAAGGGTCTTGGCCGCATCTTCTCGCGCGAGCCCCGCAACCTCGTCCAGCTGCACAGCTACAAGGTAAGACCACACCAACAACCACGCCATTCGACAGCCGACTCGAAGTGGCCGGCATCGAAAGGGGCAACCGAAGGAGGATCGCGACTTCGTCGGATAGGACCGATTGCATGCAGGTCGAGGTCACGGACCAGCTGTCTTTGGCATGCACCAGCCTCTCGGCTGTCCCGATCGACCATCTATCGCCATCGCATCGACATCGACACAGATAAACTGACTCCGACGTGATATCGACTGCATATTTTGCGCTTGTAGTACTCTGGTGTTGTCAACGCCAAGGCTGTCGGCATTGAGGCCGCCAAGTCGGGCAAGGGCATCGTTCTGACCACCAAGAACTCGAAGAAGACCCCCTTCTCGATCAAGTCGACCAAGAACGCCTCCACCATCAAGAAGGGTGGCTCGCGCCGTGCCGCCGGCGTCGTCTCCAACGTCGTCGCCAAGAAGGGCTACCGTGCCGACCTGACCAAGGGTAAGTTCGATATCCGCCCAACGCTTCCAGCATCCATCAGCACCACACATCAGCCCATCGCAGCCAACCCCACCAGACGGCGACACGGGCGAAAGAGGTTGGAGGGAGGACGGATAGAGGAGCTGGAGAAACCAAATGCATCGCGCTAGAACCCACCGGATACACAAACTCTCCTTGAAGGTTTGGGCGTAATAGCGATGCAAGATCGACGGCGTTTGGGCGGGGTGTGCGCATGCGCATCTCTCGTGGGGCCCTGTCGTCCCTGTCGGACGCAACTTGGCTCACCAATGTTGCATCGCCCTGTCAAAGGAGCGGTGCGACTGCCCGACGTACAAACCTTCCTCCAACCTCTTCTGCTGTCTACCAGCCTACACTCCCCTCGCTCGTTCGACCGCGACAGCCACGATTGGCGACAGCGATGATGGCGCTGATGCAATGCTGTGGGAAGAGACCCGATCATGGTTCGGAGTGATACTGACGGGTTGTTTCATCTACTGTAGTTGCCGTTGTCCGCGCCTCGGCGCTCCTGCGCTCGCAGCGTGGCCGCAAGCAGCCCCCTGCCCGCAAGGTTCGTGGCTCGGGCGCCCGCAAGGTTGTCAAGGTTGAGGAGCCCGTTGCTTAAACACCTCCCTACTCCTCCCAAAACCGACTCGCCGACTGTTCTGTGATCCCATCGCAATGCGCTAGCCTTCATGACGTCGGACCTTCTTTTGGCATTTCGTTGGATCGTACTGCGTGTGCGGACTGGACCGCGGGGTGAGATGATGGTTGAAGGCCAAGCCAGTGTTTGGACGGGTAGTATCGGCGCTCGCCCGGATCGGAAGTCGGACAACAAGGTTCGTTGGGGGAAGGAGATGAGCTGCACGTGCAGGCGTCGCGCATGTGTTTGTCCGCCCGCCCACCCTTCGCGCTGTTGGGATGTGGGGAGAAGCGATCCCATGTATGAGACACAAGCTGGCATTCTCTGCCAGCGACTAGCCGCAAAGGTGTTGAGGGTGCATTTTGTCGAGTGCGACTCGCCAAAGCGCTCGAGAGAGCCGAGCAGATCGGACCGGAGAAGGCGATTGTACATTCCAAGCCTCGCTGCGATTCCTCGCCTCACCCGCGGCGGAAAGGAGGCCAACGATGGAAATCGGCGAGGAACGCGGTTAGCGGGGATTGAATGTTCTCGAAAAGGCGCGCGCGAGGCGAGCCAACGGGCGTGCAGATCTTGACATGTGCACCGCACGAGGCCCACGCCATGCCCCTTCCCACGCAGCACCTCACATTCCTCATCTCAAACGCGCCACACCCTCCGTTTCTGCATCGATCCGTGTTCTTTTACCGCCGCTCGCTAGTCGAGTCGGGCCATCGGCGATGTCTAGCATCGATTCCATTGGCCCGAAGCTCCAAGGTGGGATGATCGACGTCAGACTCCCATGCTGCCACGTCTCGGCACCAAGCTTGTCGAACCCAACGCGACCATCTAGGGCTTTGCTTCGCTCGTCCAGCTGAGGATCACAGGAATGCCCTGTATGATCGGTAGCCGCCCAATCAGGACCGAGACACACCTTGTGTGAATCCACGGCTCGAGTCAGATCCCTCACCCAATCCTCAACACTATTCCGCCGCTTTGGTCTCTCGCAATGTTTTCATTTCCCCCTTCCACGTCGGCTGGGCGTCTCAGTAAGGCCTCCACGTTTCGTACTATACGGAGGCTTGGCCATCGATAGCCATGCTCGCTTGGAGCGATTCGGGTTTTGTCCCCAATGTTGCGGCCTCCGCATATGGGATTTGTGCTTGACCTAAGCTCGGTGGAATTTGGCCTGCGGCGTTCCGTGTGCGCTCGAGCAGGCAAGGTGCGGGGTGCGTGTGCATGATGCACGAGCTTGCTTGACGTGCAGCCGGGGCGTTGGCGCGAGGAGGACGCGCGGATGTGCATCTCGTGCCGTGCAGCTGCTGCCAAGCGGCCACAAAGTTACGGCGCCCAAGCTGCAGAGAGGAAGGCCATGAAATTCTCCGTGGTGTTGGAAAATTGCAAGGAAAAAAAAAAAA